CTATATCTTTTGATAGCTGGGCACCATCAGCTTTCTTCACCACATTTGCTTATGCACACATTTTGTCTTCAGCAATCGTGTTGGGAAGGTGAGTATCACAGAATGCCAGACTGTTAGAACAAAGTGTTCTTGTGTTGAGGGAGTACTTGAGGCGAGGCCCAATGTCCATCTGCAACCTTAATTCTTAACACATAGATATAAGTACATAGATCTATTCCCCTCTCGTTATACATAAATATATTTACATATGTAGATGCCTGTATTTAAACCTCTATAAATGTCCTTTGCCTCCTGGTTCTTTCCTCTATTTCCTTTTACTTCCCTCTTGTCTGGTCTCTCCATAATGTTCGGCCTTCATTCGGGTTTAGTAACTCCTTGCTGCTACCTTGCCCTTGATTACGCCCCACTAGGCATCCTACGACTTTCCTTTCGTCCCTGGGTTGGTTCCTCCCTCCCCACTTCCTTTCTCACACCTCCTTTTCTCCCGTAACCCCTGCCCCCCAGTCATTGGTCCTGTTCTTATTTCATCTCTGAATTGTTTATCCCTCCTATCTGATCTAGGTAGTCATGCAGAGACATTAATAAGCACAAAAACCAGGCAAAGCCAAACCAAACGACAAAGGAAGTCAAAATCAACAAAACAATAACAACCAAAAAAACCCCCAAACAAAACCCAGGAAAAAATAACAACAACAAAAAGAAAGCCACTGACAAAAACGGAAAAGCCTATACATAAATAGTTCGAAGTCTGCTTGGTGGTCTGTATGAGTCTTTTCCACTGATGGTTTGTCGCACTCTGTCTCCAACGTCTATTTTTGGTGTTCCCTGGGGACTTCATCGCTTAGCTCCCCTTGCTGCTCTGTTGCAGGCCCTTAGTGTTTCACCCAGTGCGGTGGGGTCAGATTGGGCACAATTCCTGCACTGTGTCCCCAGTGTTGTCCCCTGTAGTGCTATGGTTCGATGAGGGACGTCGTGTCTTGTGGTCGGGCTGGCCCTATGGTCCTCTGTGCGTGGGCCAGGGTGTGCTCCACTCTCCCTCCCCTTCATTCTCTAGAGTCCCTTTTCAAGTAAAGACCATTCTAAAGAGGACTTCTGGGGAGTGGCTATTAAGATGCACATTTGTATATGAGGATGGGGAAGTAGATTTATGTGCATATATTTATAGGGTTAGTATTAAGATAGCAGATGGACATTGGGCCTCCACTCAAGTACTCCCTCAATGCAAGAATACTTTGTTCTATTAAACTTGCATTCCATGATGCTCATCTTCCCTATATGATTGCTGAAGACAAAGCGGGTGCATAAGCAAATGTGGTGAAGAAAGCTGATGGTGCCCGGCTATCAAAAGATATAGCATCTGGGGTCTTAAAGGCTTGAAGGTTAACAAGCGGCCATCTAGCTCAGAAGCAACAGAGTCCACATGGAGGAAGCACACCAGCCTGTGTGATCACAAGGTGTCAAAGGGGTGGGGTATTAGGCATCAAAGAACAAAAAATTCATATCATTGTGAATGAGGGGGAGTGTGGAGTGTGGGCCCAAAGCCCATCTGTAGGCAACTGGACACCCCCTAATGGGAGGGTCATGGGGAGGAGACGAGCCAGTCAGGGTGCAGTATAGTTTCATTAAACATATAAATTTCCTCTAGTTCCTAAATGCTTCCTCTCCACCCACTATCATGATCCCAATTCTACCTTACAAATCTGGCTAGACCAGAGGATGTACACTGGTACAGATAGGAACTGGAAACACAGGGAATCCAGCATGGATGATCCCTTCAGGACCAGTGGTGAGAGTGGTGATACCGGGATGGTGGAGGGAGGGTAGGGTAGAGAGAGGGAACCGATTGTAAGAATCTACATATAACCTCCTCCCTGGGGGACAGACAACAGAAAAGTGGGTGAAGGGAGACATTGGACAGTGTAAGATATGACAAAATAATAATAATTTATAAATTGTCAAGGGCTCATGAGGGAGGGGGGAGTGGGGAGGGAGGGGAAAAATGAGGACCTGATGCCAGGGGCTTACGTGGAGAGCAAATGTTTTGAGAATGATGAGGGTAATGAATGTACAAGTATGCTTTGCACAATTGATGTATGTATGGATTGTGATAAGAGTTGTATGAGCCCCCAATACAATGATTAAAAAGAAGAAGATATATATGTTCCCATGCGACTCCACAAACACTCTGCCATCTGTCGATCTGCTGCACAGTGACCCTACACAGGGTTTCTGAGGCTGCCAACCTTTACAGACATAAAGACTCCCAGCTTTCTTCAGAGTGGCTAATGGGTTTGAGTGACCCGCAGCTCATACCCCTCCCTATGCCACCAGGCTTCCCTACCGTACTCAGTGGCTCTCAAACCACCTGGAGGACCTACCAAACACAGACCTCCCAAACACAGACCTCCCAAACACAGACCTCTCAAACACAGACCTACCAAACACAGACCTCCCAAACACAGACCGCTCAGCCTTGTCTTTAGAGTTTGTGATGCAGTCGGTCTTGGGTTGGCCTGAGCAGCTGCATTCCTAACACATTCCTGGGCGATGCTGCTGCTGCTGGGCCGGGCCCCCGCACTTTGGAGAGCTGCTCCATGACCTTATTAGCTCCTTCAGGAGACTTTTGTGAGGACTCGGTGGATAAATGAATGCCGAGCCCCCAGCCCGATCATGGCAGCCTAGGGCCAATCTGCAGCACGAGACCTCTTTAAAGAGCTGAAAAGCAAGGATGTGGCTTTGAGGACTACGATGTACCTGACCCAAGCTATGGTATTTCCGGTCGCCTCACAGGCATGCACAAGTTGGACGTGGGGTGAGGAAGATCAAAGAAGACTCGATGCGAATGAACGGTGGTGCTGGTGAAGAGGACTGAAAGTGACCACGGGCCGCCCAAGGCACAGACAGCTCTGTCTTGGAAGGACAGCCGGAATGTGCCGTGGAGGGGAGGATGGCGGTCTTCGTCTCATAGACTGCAGACATGTTGTCCAGCGACATCAGTCCCTGGACGGGGCATCCTGTTTGGTACAGTGGAGGGCAGTGAAGCGAGGAAGACCCTTGATGAGATGGAGCGGTTGTGAGGTCGGCTCACGGAGCAGGCATCGCTTTGCTCTGTTGCACACGGGGTCACTATGACACCCCCGAACAGTGGCAACAACAGCAATCACGTGGGTGGCCTTGAACCTCCAATCTCTAGTCAACCAGCCACATTCAGATGGTTTGCACTACCCAGGGACCTCGGACTGAGAAGATTCCGAAATTGATAGCTACCCAACACGTAACATGTTAAGTAGGAAGCACGTGTGCCCCCAGCGATTGCAGCCAGGGCTGAGAATCACTGGTCGTGCCTGCTATCTTCTTGCAGGGAATGCCCAAGGCTTGTAGAATTGGGGACACCTACTCCTGGGCTCCTAGCTTCGCAGCCCAGGGCCACGAGGCGGTTCCTCAAGGGAGCCGGTGCACTTTGCTTGCCATCTCTGAGGTCCTGTAGTGAGCCTTCTCTGCCTGCCAGTTCAGAAAGTAGAAGGAGAGCTTGTTCCAGCTCATCCAACCCCAGTCTGTTCAGCAAACACCGAGCGAACTCCTGGCAAGAGCGTGTGGGCTGCATTAGTTCTTGCAGGAGAGGAGCCAGCAATGGTCAAGAGAGAGCACCCGCCCCGTGGAGAGGCTCATGATGAGAGCTGGATCCTCATCTCTTCCTTTGGGTCCCACATGCTTAGGTTTCTTGTCTGGGACTTGAGTTCATTCCTCCTCCCTGATGCGGTTTTCTGCCCCTTGGCAGGAAGATGCCCCTTTTCAGGCCCTGGCTGGATATGCAGGAACCTCGATGGTACAGTGGGTGAAGTGTCGCCCTGCTACCTGGAAGGTCGACGTTTGACCCCGCCAGTCACTCTGGGGGAGAAGGAGGGGCAGTCTGATTGACGGGCCTCGGAAACTCTACGGAGCAGTTCTGCTCTGCCCTCCAGGATCGCTAGGAATCGGAATCCACTCGATGGCAGTGGGTTTGCGATGGATGTCCTCTCCCCCGTCTCCCTGGATTTAGACCACTTCCAGCATCGGTGCAGCTTTCTCCACCCACACAGTTCTTCATGAAAGGGGCCAGGCCTCTTCCCACAGGGAATGCTCTCATTAAAAGGGGGCAGTTGCTACCGCACAGCACGGTGGCCTTTCTGAAGGCTGGAGCAGGTGGGGGCCGGGTGGGCTAGGCCACTGAGGTTGCCTGGCAGCCCCACCCTCGTAATGAGAGCCCAGGTCCAGTGTTGGTCCTTTGAAGACATGTCCCAAAGCTTTCCCCTGGAGACCAATGATAGGAACCCAGAGTCCTGCTTTAGCCAAATGACAAGCTTGGCCCACTTTTATGAGGAGAGGAATTCCTTATGGGATACCAAATTACAAATTAATTAGCAGCTTCCTCTGAGGCTAAGTGTAAACATCAACATCATCCCGTGCAGACTTTCTAGCGTGAGCCCACTCACTGCAAGGGTATAAAAAGGCTCGGGCAGAATGGGGTCTGCAGACCTTGGCGATCCAAGTAGCCACATCTGAAAAGGGGGCCTCCCGACATGACATCCAACTGCTTTGTCGCCAATAGCTCACCGGCCTCCGTCAAGAGCGGCACCTGGCCTTCCTCTGTCTGCTCCAGCAGCATGAGCTGCCGGCCCGAGCTGTGCCTGGGCTATGTCTGCCAGCCTGTGACCTGCATGCCTTCTACCTACATGCCAACCACCTACCGGCCATCCAGCTGTCTCCCCAAGGCCTACCTGCCTAGCTCCTGCCGGCCTAGCAGCTGCCGGCCAGCCACTGGCATCTCCAGTTCCATAGGTCCCTGTGGCTGGTATGGAGAAGGTAGCTTCAACGGCAACGAGAAGGAGACCATGCAGTTCCTGAATGACCGGCTGGCCAGCTACCTGGAGAAGGTGCGGCAGCTGGAGCGGGAGAACGCGGAGCTGGAGACCAAGATCCAAGAGACCTGCCAGTCTCAGGTGCCCACCTTGTGCCCGGACTACCAGTCCTACTTCCGCACCATCGAGGAGCTGCAGCAGAAGGTGAGGGGAAGTGGGTGAGCAGACCCACCGGAAAGACATCTGCAAGAGCCAGCCTTCCCAATTTAAAGGTCACTCGTTTCTTAGACCGTGTTCAGGGCAAAGAGACCTCCCGAGCGTGGAGGATTGAGCTCATGAGCTGAGTCCCAGCACTGATTCCCTGGGTGATTTTGGGAGGCCCTTACCTTGCCCTCCCTCCCAGCTCCCGGGCCCCCCATCCCAGCCTCCTCATTTGTCAAATGGTGATAATCATGGTTCAGGGGAGTCGTGGAGACGATGCAAGCGAAGCGAACCGCTCCTGGCATGGGGCGAGTTTTCCATAAATGGTAGTGCTGCCAAAGACGTCTCCACGTGTACATGTCACTGGGCCAAACCGCGTTCTTTGGCTTTCATATTGTTCGCTGCCTCCAAAAGGGAGCATCCGATGTATGGAGCGCCTCCTGCTCTTGAAAAACCAAACAAAAGGAACCGAACGGAACGAAACCGAACCCAAGTCAGCTAAGCTAGCCTAAGATAAATTCAGCTCAGCTTAGCTCAGCTCAACCAAGCTCAGCTCAGCTAAACGAAAGCTGAAAGATCTACTACAAGTAGAGTCCACGCCATCTCCCTCAGGGAGAGGGCACGTCTGCGGGAGGGCTGTAGTGCTGGGTCTTCTCCATGCTGTTGACTTCTTACTTGAGCACCTTTTCCTTCTGCTCCTGTGGGGCGAATCCCTCTGCTTGCCTTGGCTCACAGGTTCTGTGCACGAAGGCAGAGAACGCCAGGATGGTGGTGCACATCGATAATGCCAAGCTGGCTGCGGATGACTTCAGGACTAAGTGAGTTTGCCAAGGGGAGGGAGAGAGCCCTTCTTCCACCCCCACCCCCCACCACACACACAGAGGGCACACACAGTCCCTGCAGTTGCACGAGGTGTTGGGAAAAGGATGGCTGTCCTCAGGCCTTCCCTGAGATGCTGCCTTGGGGTCTGTTCCTGCAGTTCCTGACCCTGTCCCTGCGCAGGTACGAGACGGAGCTGTCCCTGCGGCAGCTGGTGGAGGCCGACATCCACGGCCTGCGCAGGATCCTGGACGAGCTGACCCTGTGCAAGTCCGACCTGGAGGCGCAGGTGGAGTCCCTGAAGGAGGAGCTGCTGTGTCTCAAGAGGAACCATGAGGAGGTGAGCCCTGAGGTCCACCTGAAGGGCTTGGGAAGCCGAGGGAGAGCATCTGGGGCTTTGGGAGTTGCATAGACATAGGTCGAGACCCCCAGGCCTGGCATCTATCATTTTCGTGGTTTTGTCCGCTGGATTTAAACTTTCTGAGGTCTTGCTCCTCACCTGTAAGACCTGGCCCCTGTTGTGTAGGCTGAGAAGGACATGAAGTCCTGGTTAGGGAACACTTGTCACTTGGTAGGGACTCATACACGTAGCTCACCGTGAGCATGACTGCCCAATGATCACGGGAACTGCGTTTGTGTTTCTCCCGAGAGCCTCATACTGGAGGTGGGGTGCGATGTACCTGAGGGTAAGAGGTGGGCTGTCCATCTCTGCCAGGTGAGGTCATGGGGGTGGGGACCCTCATCTCTTTAAAGGAGCAGTGACGTGCAGTCATGCTCTTCCTTCTGTTCCCTCTTCCCCTCTTGCTCTCTCCTCTGTTTGAATATTATCTCCTCAGGCTGAAAACCACAGGCAAACCCTCTCCCTTCAGGCTCCTCTCTGAAGGAGAGCGCTCTGCTCTAGACACCTGTGTGCTGCCAAGCCCACCTGAGCCCTGGTGGCTTTCTTTATGCCCCCTCCTCCCGTGAGTTGATGCTGAACCTACGGATGGGGATCTGAATGAACAAGTGCCTCCACATCCCGGCTGAGCCTTCACCAGCTTAAGTGGAGAGTAGCTGTCAGTCACCACGCCCTCCCGGAGCACCCTAGGGCACCCAGAAGGGCATTCGCCTGACTCATCCCATGTAACCCAGAGGACTGGGAACCACACCAAGAACGCACTAATGAAGCATTAGCACCCACACTGAAGGCTCAGCCACCACTTTCTCCCTGGCAGCCAAACCTGGGGAGGTGCCCGCTCTAACGTGGACTCTCTTCCTTTGCCACATGACCAGAGGCTGCTGCAGGGCAGGCCAGGAGAGCCAGGGCACCGGCTTCCCATTTTAGTTCAAATGGGCCAAATAAGCAAGCAACCTGGTGCTGCTCTTAGCGTCTGCCAAAGCAACAGGGGGTGCTTTTGCTGGGAGGCGTTTTCCAAACTGGGGAACCCTCAGGGCACTGGGGAGCCGGTCACAACGTCTTCACAGGCTCCTTCTAACCCCGAGGTTGTCTGCCCTTTCCTCTTCCATCTCCCGATGTCTTCTTGGGATGGGGCTGGGGTACGGTGGGGGTGGGGGGCTGGGCCTAGGTGACTTCTACACTTGCCTGGGGCTCTTGTACCTTTTCAGGAAGTCGGTACCCTGCGATGCCAGCTTGGAGACCGCCTTAACATTGAGGTGGACGCTATGCCCCCTGTGGATCTCAACAGGATGCTGGACGAGATGCGGTCTCAGTATGAGACCGTGGTGGAGAGGAACCGCAGAGATGTGGAGGAGTGGTTCAACACGCAGGTGGGCCTCTTGCAGGTGGGCTGGCCACCTAGTGGCCCTGAAAAAGAGCCCCCTCAACTTTCCCTGACCCTGCCTCCCATTGCAGATGGAGGAGCTTAATCAGCAGGTGGCCAACAGCTCTGAGCAGCTTCAGAGCTACCAGTCGGACATCATTGATCTGAGGCGGACGGTCAACACGCTGGAGATAGAGCTGCAGGCCCAGCATAGCCTGGTGAGTGCTGCTGTAGGCTCCCCTCTCCCAAGCCTAGCTCCAGGGTGGCTGGTAGGTGCAGGCACCTGTGACGGCGGCGGGAGGGGAGGCTCAGACTTCCACCACCACCGATGGTCACCCAGATGTCCCCGAGAGGGGTGTTCGGCCGAGATCAAACTCAGATGGCAAAGGGGCACATTTCAAGTCTGACCTGGGTTCGAGGTACACTGGCGGCACTGACACGCACGAACCCCCCAAGAAAGCCTGGTCTCTGCTTCGCCTGTGCTCCCCCCACACCTGTTGCACCTTAAAAACTCCGGTGCTCAGGTTGCTTTCCAGACCAGTGGGATCTGGAGGTGAAACTTGATGTTGTTTTTGGTTTCTTGTTTTTTATTTATTGTTTCCCAGTGCAGCTTAGATTCCTCCCTACAGCACCATGGATGACTCTTGAAAAATACTTTGAAAACCTTTTTTATTGTGAATCAGGTCAAGGGGGAACAGATCAGATTGAGGTCAAGGGGAACAGATCCGATCATAGTTTTCCATTTGGCACCAGCTCCTACACCTTCTGTGTCCACTCATCCATCACTGCGCACCCCCCTACCCCCCCTGGATCATGGCTTCTCTCCTATCCCACTTCCTCCCTGGGCCTCCAGTTCCCATGGCTCCTGGCATAATAAAGCTCCCAGGTAACGCGACTGCTGCGCAGCTAGGGCTGAGAGCCTCTCTTCTCAAGGATGTACTTCTGGTGAACCTCAGCCCCCAACCTGAGCCAGGGTTTGGAAGGTTGTAGAAGGAAGGGGGGGGCGCTTTAGTATTTGATTGGAGGTGGCGGGGGGCAAACTCTGGCTTTGTTCATTACCAGCTGTTTACCCTTAACCAAGTCCCCCTGCTCCTCCCGGCTTTTGTCTCTGCAGTCCTGTGTAGAGAGGGGTCACTCCTAACGTCAAGGAAAGGCTTGGCTCTTGTAGGTCCTTTCTGAGTCAGGCCATGGAAAGGACCTCCCCCAGGTCAGCTGTGTCCCTCTCCCGTAGAGGGACTCTCTGGAAAACACGCTGATGGAGACGGAGGCCCGCTACAGCGCCCAGCTGGCCCAGATGCAGGGCCTGATCACCAACGTGGAGGCCCAGCTGGCGGACATCCGCTGTGACCTGGAGCGGCAGAACCAGGAGTACAAGGTGCTGCTGGATGTCAAGGCCCGGCTGGAGGGCGAGATCAACACGTACCGGGGCCTGCTGGAGAGCGAGGACTGCAAGTACGTGGGCCCAGCGGAGGCTGCGCAGAGAGATCTGTGTGACCGTACAAGTAGCCTTACGAAGTGGGTACTGGATGCTTTCTGCAGCGTCGGGGCACAGGGTGGGCACACAGGTATGGCCACTGTCCCTTTGGACCTCACCGCGGAGTAGGGGAGACAGACCAGGAGAGAATCACCGCTAACCACTCTGGAAGGAGGAACCTGGTACCACGAGTGCTTCCCTAGGGATTGGCCTCGGAGACACCGGGCAAGCTTCCTGGAGGATGTGGCAGGTGAATTGAGCGCTGAAAGAAGAGAAGGAATTGGCTCGGTGGGTTGGGAGAGAAGCATATTCCAGAAATAACAGGCTACAAGCCCTGCGATCCACGGAGGGGCGCGAGGAAGGCCTGCGTGCCTGAAGCCAGGAGAGGGTCAGAGCTGTGGGCTGAGGCTGGGCCCAGAGGTTGGAGCAGGACCACGCCGAACCAAGAGGTTCTCAGAAAGTGCTCTTTACCCAAGCGCCAATGGGAACTGTGGACGATGTTAGGCAGGGGAGGGACACGGTCAGCTCTCCGTATGGCGAGGACCAGTCTGGTCATTCATGACAATGCTTACGCGGGGCAAGAGGGGCTGGAGAAAGCAGTCAGGAGGGTGCTGGGTGACAGACAAAGGTGGGGGAAGCTGGGACGGGGGGAGCTTGATGGAGCAGACAAGACGTGCAGAGGATGGGGTGGAGAGGGAACCCGAGGCAGAATTGGCAGGTGGTGTAGGGGCCATACACTGGGTGGCTAACTGCAAGGCCGGCAGTTCGAAACCACGCTGGGAGAACGTTTTGGGTTTCTCCTCCCATCAAGAGTTACAGTCTTGGAAACCCACGGTGGTGGACTACTCTGCCCGGCAGGGTATCTCTCGGTGAGTCCGAATCGACTCGAGGGTAGTGGGCTTTACTGTGGAGTTCCGTCGCCCTGTTGGCGGAGCGGACTCAGCTGCAATGCAGGGTCAGTGCTTCGAACCCAGCAGCTGCTCTGCAGAGGAAAGCGGAGGCGGTGTGCTCTTGTAAAGACTTACAGGCTCGGACACCTGCAGAGGCAGTTTGCTCTGCCCTTTGGGGTTGCTATGAGCTGGAATTGTCTCTGTGGAAATGGAGTCTTTTTCTTTGTGACTATGAAATTGGACTGCTCTGCTAATCTTCTCCCCATGTGGCTTTCTTCTGCAGATTGCCTTGTAACCCCTGCTCTACTCCTCCCGGCCCACCTTGTGCCCCTTGCCCGCCATGTGTGCCCCGCACGGTCTGTGTGCCCCGCACGGTCTGTGTGCCTTGCACACCCTGTCCCCAAGGACGCTACTGAAGCTTCTTAGTGCTGGTGGGTCCCAGAGGGACTGGAGCCGGGCAGCATGGGACCTCTTCATGTTGGACCTGAACACAGTTCAGAGGGCCACCCAGCAAGGAAGACCACGGGCAGAAGCCAGGAAGTGGACACTGTAAGGTGCTCTGCCATTGCAGGGGGTGCGGGGGACCCTCATCTCTCAGAACCTGCCTCTCTCCTATTTCCATGGGTGGCCTGCGCTCTTTGGGGCTGCTTTGGGTTGTCTGTGCTGTCTCAAAGAGTCCGTGTTTGAAGTTAGTTGGCAAATAAAGCTCCATTCAGTGGTCCCACAGTGTTGTCTGTCTGGTCATTTCTGCCGAATCCACAAGCCGATTCAGCGCAGGCATTTTCAATGGGGACCGAATCCTAGGTTTATTTTTACATCTCTTCTGCTTCCACAGGCTTGAGAGGCTTTCATTAAAAAGGCCCACATGCCATAAGCCAGCTTAAGCCAGGGAACTGGTTCAGAGCCAGTTAAGCAAAGAATAAAGGGAGGGACATGATTCTGTCAGAGACCCAGGCCAAACACCTGCACCCGAGACTCAAGCTCACCTTTAAACCTCAGCACAGCTGGCACAAGGGGATTAGTCATCCATCCCCGAAGTCTTCACCTGAGAGGTGCCAGGTCTTGCCTTTGTTGTGGTTGGTTGCCATGGAGTCCACGCGGACTCTTGGCGACCTTGTGGAGAACAGACCAGAATGTTCCCGACAGGGCGCCATCTTGATTTTCTGTGTGGCTGCGCCCATGACTGTGGCTGTGTGTCCACCCACCTCATCGAGGACGTCCTTCATTTGCTTGACCCTCTGCCAAGCATGGAGCGCCTTCAGCGCTCCGGGGGTCTTGAGGTCCAAAGGAGGTTGGCTGCAGTCTTGCCATGCTCGCTCCTCAGGAGCATTGTGGCTGCTTGTGTCTCTTCTGAGACCCATGGGCTCATTCACCTGGCAGACGATGGGCATTGAATGTGTTGAGTCCACCTCACAGCGTGGATGCAGCGCTTCGCCCTCCGTCTTCCTTTTCCATTGTCAAGCTTCCACGCGCGCGGCGCAGGGGAAAGGGCCAGGGCTTGGTGAGGCGCATCCTTGATCATCAAGAAGACCCCTTTGCTTTCTAACTCTGTAAGGAGGCAAATCTTTGGGAGGCAGATTTGCCCCATGGAGATACCCTGTTAATCAGATCCCTTTTAGTCCTTGCAACAGTCTACGTGAGTGAGGCATATCATGGTTGTCTCCCCTGTACAAAGGAGGAAACAGAGGCCCAGGGGAACTAGGAAACTTGCTAGGATCATGTGGCTATCAAGGGAGGACTTAGGAATTCAAATCCAGGCCTTCCACCTCCAGAGAGGTTTGGTGAATCCATGGTCAGAGTCCTTGCTATTAGTAAACTACAACTATAGGGATCCCCCCCAAAAGGCAACCGGTCCCTCCCCTCCCCAGCTGCTTATCATCAGAGAGGAGATTAAGACCAGCTCTTTCCTCAGGGTCACCGCCATCAGTCCATTCTGACTGCGAGTGGGCCCTCAGGACAGGGTAGAACTGCCTAGGCGAGGATTTACCGCGACTACTGGTAAGGATGGAACACTTGCACTGCGGATTCCACCTCAACCTGGAGAACAGAGCCCTCCCCACGGGCCAACGCGTACCATTCTGATACACGCAGAGGGTATTAAAGGTGTCAAGAACCCCCTTTTATTTGGCTCGACCACCAGTGCCTGTGAAAGCAGCAGTCTAGAGATCAGATGGGGGATCTCGGGGGGCACATCTGCTGCACCAGGACCTCTCTCAAGTTTCATAAAAGCCAGGAGATCCCGTTGAGGACGAAGGGGCGCTGCGCCAAGCCATGGTGTTTTCAGTCACCTTCCCCGCACGTGAACGTTGACCATAGAGTAAGGAAGGCTGCAGCAGAAGCGATGCCCTTGGAAGACGGCACTGGGGAAGACTATTGAAAGTACCGTGGGCCGCCAGAAGAACAAGTGGACCTGTCTTGGAAGAGGCCCAGTCAGAATGGTCCTTAAAAGCCAGGCCTGTGAGCCTTTCTTGCGTGTGCTGTGGACATGTTATCAGGAGGGACCCGTCCCTGGGGAGGGACGTCATGTTTGCCAAGACAGAGAGTCAGGGCCAAAGAAGAAGACCCTCCCGCTGGAGGGACCCAGGGGCTGCCACAAGGAGCTCTGACATACAATCCATCGTGAGGATGTACCGCGGGGTGGGCGTGGTACAGATGGGTGCTAGGGGGCAGAACAGCCTCCAGGGCACCCAAGCACGACCGTGACAACCAAGGGGCCTCTAACAGGACGGTTGTGCGCCAGGGAGAGTGAGCGAGCTGTTGGAGAGTCTGTGGAAGAAGCTGCTAGGAACCTGAACCACAGCAATGAGATGAGAACGGAAACCGCGGAGAGCAGTTTGAGAGACCGGGCGAAGGACCTGATCTGACCTGGCCGCTGGCAGGACATGGTGGAAAAGAGGTGAGCCACGAGAACAGGAATCTCCACCATCTTTCGGAACCTCCCCCTCCAAACATATCATTCTTCCTTAATGAGACGGAGGGCTGCCTCTGTGAAGGATCTCTGGCCTCGCCAAGGGATGATGGAAAACGGATCTGATTTGGAAGCTGCCCGGAGGCTCTCCAGACACGATCCCACAAGTCGGCCTGGCAGACGAGGTCTTAAGCCTGACAGAGGAGACAAGGGCCCGCTCTGTTTCGCAAACTCTGGTTCAGAATGTGTTAAAACGCCAGGGTGCTAGGAGGCCAAGGGAGAGGGGCTTCTAGCGAATTTGATTTTCTAATAACCGAGTGCAAACCAGTGATCTTTCTTAATTCAATGCCTGAGCAACACTTTTGTCCATAGGTGCTCAGTTGGATAAACATCACAGACGGAACAGAATGGACCTTTGGTTCTAGAATCATAGGCCTCTTCTGTCCAATATGCTACCCACTAACTATGTGTCTTTCATTTTTAGCAAAATAAAGTCAAGTTAAATAGAAAGCGTTAGTTCCTCAGATGCATTGGCCACATGTTAAGTGCCCAATAGCTACGGGTGGCTGGCAGTCCCACACGCAACAACACAGAGAAGGAATGTTTTGGATCTCACCGTGAAGCACATTGGTTGGCCTGTACTGTCCTAGACGGTCAGAACTCAGAGGACCCTGACAGATGATCTGATCCAGGGAGGTCTCCTCCACCCCTTCCCACTTACAGCTCAGGAAGATAGGCAATTGCTCACAGACACAACCAACAGATGCAAGCTGAAGCCAAGTGTGTGGACACCAGGCCCAGTGGTTTCTTTGAGTTTTTCAAGCTTTCTCTAAATAGGACCCCACAAAACTCACTGCCATCGGGTCCATGTGGACTCAGTGACCCCACAGGAAGAGGGAGAATTGTCCCCATGAGTTTCCAAGACTGCAACTCTTTATGGGAGTAGAAAGCTCTCTCTCTGTCTCCTGCAGAGAGGCCGGTGGTTTCGAACTGCTGACCTCGCAGTGAGCAGCCCAACATGTAACCACGACACCACCCGGGCTCCTACTTTCGCTAAATGCCCAAGGCTTATTATTATGTAATAAAAATTCCCTCCTTCCTCCCTTTCCTTAGAGGCATTTTGTCAGAGATGCGGAAGCTCTTTCCTGGGGATAGACCAAAGCTCAAAGCCAAACCCAATGCCATCAAGTCAACTCCAATTTACGGTATCTCTCTGTCCAAGTTCTAAGACTTTACATCTACGGGAGCAGACTGTCTTATCTTTGTCCTGGTGGGTTTGAACTGCCAATGCCTAACCTACAGGGCCACCAGGGCTCATGGGGATACAATTCTAAAAGTCCCCCTCTCTCTCCTCTCTAACTCAGTTCTATCCAACTCGTTCTGTCGCACACAGGGTTGCTGTCAGTCTGACGGACTTGACAGCATGTAACTCAGACTTTCCCCACCTTCAGGTTTGGGCTCAGCCGGACCTCAGGCTGTGGCGGGGAGCTGACACTGGGCAGGGACACAGGAGGGCCAGGCCATGCGCCCAGGCCGTTGGGCTTTCCCCAGCCTCCTTTCTCCCACAACGCAACCGTTTCTGTGTTCACACCGATGCGTCACTCTGACGAGCCTAGACCTGTCTGACCACCGAATGCTCGTTAAGGCATTTTATATGAAACCAAGCATCGCTCTTTCAGGAGTGCCGCCCCTTCTGGAAACGGATGGCCGCCATCCTCGGAGTCTAGATGATACTTCCGGGCTGGAGGCATCTCCACTCATTGTCCTGCCTGACCCGACTCTAATGCAGGGGAAGACTGGGGAGTAGAGTTTAGAAGATCCGCTGTGTCCCGCCGATATGGGGCCTCCTGAGATCAGGACCCAGAGCTCTACACTCGGGGATCCTCAGAGAAACTTTGTTCTTTAGCCAAGCAGTGGGATTTCATGAGCTCCCGTTTACAGGGACACGCAGGCAAGGCCGCAGTAGGGTAATAAATCGCTGCTGTGTTTGATGTTTGGGAGGAACTCCCACACGTAGCAGTTAACACCCCTGTAGAAATGGTGCTGTGGGGACGGGGAAGTCAGTACAGCCTTCCCCAAGACACCAATTTCCCCAGGATCACCAGGCCCCCAGTCACAGCACCAGAGCAAGGCCTGGGACTGCTTTTCCCGGAGTGGTGATGGGGGCACCAGGTCAGAACCGGCCTCCACACAAGCCTGACGAGGGGGTGATCGCTGATAGAGCTGAAGCTGCAGGGGCTGAGTTCAGTGGCTGGGCGCGGAGGCCCGTGTGCCGACTCTAAATTGTGCTGGATGAATCTTTTCCTCTTCACGATTGGCAAAGGGTTTTCCAATATCACCATAAAAATAAAATGAAAAAGGATAGGCCTCTTCCAGGCCCTGAGTGGGGAAATTGCTGAGGATACAACCGTTCTCTTTTTGTGTTTGCAGATTTGATCACACGAAGGCAATGAGCTCGACCAGAGAGTTGCGGAGACGGCTCGATGTCTGTCTTTTCTAACAACCGACCACGGCAGGTTTATTCCCACACGGTCATCTCCTTTAGCCGCAAACACGAGGGCTCCTCAAAGAGGTCATGGGACAATGCGAGGAAAAGCTAATGTCATTTATCCGTGACGGTTTTGAAGCCCTCTTGGAAACACACACACACACACCCCGGGGCATAGGGAAGTTTCAGTGGTTGTCACTTTAGGGAGTCTGTTACTAGTGTGCCTTAGTCAAGTATCCTAATTTCTGTGCGGCTCAGCTCCCATACAGAAATGGGGACAGTCCAACCTGCCCTGCCATGTGGTGGGGGTGGGTGACGTGTGAAAATGCCTCTCCTGATTCCTACTGGGTCATACTGCTTGGTACAGGTGGGCTCAAGAAAATATGCTTTGGAAACAGGTTTCCCTTCTCTTCTTAGGAATTTTGTTCTCTCTGTGACAACGGCAGCGGACTCCCTTCTCGGAGACATCCTGAGGCCCACGTTTCAGGAACAACAACAAAGTATGAATGCTGGGCTTTGTTCAAGGCTTAAAGAGCTCCCCGATGCCCTTCCAGGCTCAGCCTTCATGTCTTGGGAAAGTGGCAGGTCCAGGGCCCCAGACCAGGCTTTCGCAGAGAGCATCATGGGATAGGAAACACGTTAGCAGCGATGTGCTGGCATGACAAGGACCGTGGATTGTGAGGTGGTCCGAATCGTGGCCTTTAGCCGATGGAGCGGGTGCTGCCAGAGAACAGGGTCAAAAGAGAGATTCTATTCAGCAACTCAAAGAAAACAGCTTTGAAAGTCTGGTTCCCTGGTTTATAGAGAAGCTCTTTGTTATGGGACGAGGCAGAGGAGAATAACAAAGAGGTGTTTGAAGATACAACATATGCAGATTGTGCACAGAAGCCTCGGATGGACAGGATGGCTGGGTGGGGTGATGTCACCTCAAGACGGGGTTTGTTGAAAGCTATTCATTGGCGAGTTCTGGGTCACTCCTAGGCCAGAGCTGACCGTTCCTGGGCTTTCTTAGGAAACCCGATCTGGATAGAATTTTCAAGTTTTGCATGCTTTTTCTTGATAGCGGTCCAATAGTCTGTGCATCACATACACACGTCCGGTCCCTGGAGACATGTCTGCTCACAGTCTGTTCACTGCTCAGAGCAATGGCGGATAGCCATTTTAAAAAAGATATAGTTAGAAGCAATTTGGGGGCATTATATATGTGTGTGTGTGTTTCCCTCCCTCACTCTCCCCATTTCCTTTATCTCCTGCCCCACATTTTGAGGGAAAGCTTTGGGAACTCAGCGCTCAGCTGTCTTGGCTCCCTGGCCCCGAGAGCGAGCCCTTGGGCTGTGGGGGCCGTTGGGGTTGATTGAGGGGCGTTGGGATGCTCTTTGGAAGTGAGGGTGGCGAGACGTCATCTCATTTATTTTGGACGTTACCAGTCGTGCTTGGGAGAGGCTCAGAGAGCGGAAGATCCCCAGTGGGATGGGTTGACCGAGCGGCTGCAACGATGGGCTGGAACGTAGCTCTCTGCTCCCATACAGAGTTGCAGTCTCGGGAGCCCCATAGAGGGTCCCTTTGAGCTGGAACCGATGTGATGGCAGTGGGTTTCGCAGCAACACGATCATCATCCTGGAGAAAACGCTTTCTTCATCGTTCTGATATCCCAGATATCTCTGATATCTGGGATACAAAGAATAACATAGAATGTCCTACTTAAACACAAAACAAAACAAAAACCCTCTCTCTAACTTTTGCCTTCCTGCCCAGTTTCTAGCTCTCTCAGTTCTGCTTTGCTATAGAAGTACAGAAATGACTCTCTTTGGGGTTAAAGGATAGGAGGGAGGCGTTAGGAGTGTGGTGGTGGCCGTGGTGTGAAAGGATAGGAGGGAGGCGTTAGGAGTGTGGTGGTGGCTGTGGTGTGAAAGGATAGGAGGAGGAGTTAGGAGTGTGGTGGCCGTGGTGAGGAGGGAGGAGAGTAACCCCTGTGTTTAGAGTCTGGAAAGAAGCGGATTTTGAGAATGAGCTTTGCCCCTTTATCACGGATTTGAGCTCAGAAAGAATGCCTTTACATCTCTGATTCCCGTGCGCGGTTGTCATTCTCGTTACGGCTTCTCCTGCAATGAAGGTCAGGCGACCACCTCCCGAGATGCATCAGGATGAAGCACTCCCACCAATCCATCCCTTGAAACTCACGGAACTGTGACAATGGCCACCGAGTTGATGTCAAACACTGGGGATCCCAGACGTGCCCCGGCCCGACTGTGCCCCTTAGGCTTTTCGATGGCTGGTTCTTAGAAGCATGTTTTCAGGCCTTTCTTCCAAGTGCCCCTTGGGAGGATCCAAATCCTCAACCATTTTTTTCAGCAACCAAGCACATTTCTTTGTATGATCCCAGGACTCTGACACGGAGCGTAGGTGACTGTAGAATCAGTTAACGGACTTGAGGCAGCAAAGCAGGTTGAGGGCGCACAGTGACTCCAATAAGCAACCATGCTTTGCCCTTTAAAGTCAGGTCCTTGATTGAGATCCGAAAACAATTGTTCATTTGTTTTCCTCCTGGCATCCTGGCATCACCCCTCCTTGTCCAGATCAGACACAATCTTTAGAGTCCTCTTGTGCCAAACAGCCTACTTAAAACACGGCTACCTGAATGTGGTTGCTTCAGCATGGACAGGACCTGTATCCTACTTAACCCATTGCAGGGCAAGCCGGTGGCGGTGGTGTGTGGTATAGAGGGCATGCCCAAGAGATGAGTGTTGGATGAAATTGTCTGGATTTCATTGCTCCCCCAAGGTAAGTCTGAAATATAAAACACTGTAGAAAGAAGAAATGCGGAACTTCTTGAGAACCAAATATGACAATCTCCAGCAAAACCAAGAACCTGCTTCTTTCCTTTCAAGAGCAGGCTGATTTGAGTCTTCACCCCGGTGGCATCACTGCAGTCACAAAGGGTTGTCTTTGTAACGACACAAATGGTCCGCAGAAACATTCAGTGTGACCATCTAGCCAGAATCCAAACATCTGATGGCTGGGAAGACTTTTGATCTTTGACAAGGAACATAAACTTCTGACCTCCCATGAATAGCTCTTGTATCAAAGAGTCAAGAGACACCTCAGATTCATCAAAATTCCTTTAATGAGATGAAGAAATCTTAATGGTAAACTCAATGGCTGAGTAACAGGATGATGGCACGACAATATGCAGATAATCAAAGCACGAGGTCAAGGTGTTGAGCCAACCTCCACCTGGAATGGGATATAGAAGGGCTAGGCGGGGAGGAGGTGTCCAGAGCCAGTGACTTGGCCTTCTCTGCTGATCCGAAGCTCCCGTGCGGCCTCAGCCCAGCACCTTGACTTCCACCATCATCCGCTCCTCCTGCCCTCTGGGCATCCCCAAGGCTTCTGCAGGAACCAATGTTTGCATTACCTCCATCGGTGTTGGTGGCCGGCCTGGGGCAGAGATTAAGGCTGCCTCCCAGTGCCTGTCAGCCAGCCTGGCTCATGCCAACCGAGTGCGTGTGGGCTCAACACCTCCGGGCATGCCCAGCCTCTGCCTGCCCCCCAGCTGCAAGGCTGCTTGCTCCTTGTCAGGGACCTGCCACATCCCCACCAACCTTGGGAGCTGTGGGCTCTCCAGAGAAGGCGCCCTGAACGGCCAAGAGAAGGAGACCATGCAGTTCCTGAACGACCGGCTGGCCAGCTACCTGGAGAAGGTGCTGCGGCTGGAGCGGGAGAACGCGGAGCTGGAGGCCAAGATAGGAGAGTGGTGCCAGACTGCCAGTCCTACTTCCGGACCATAGAGAGGCTGCAGTGGAAGGTGAGGTCTGGCGTCCTCTGGAGTGTGCTGGCTCGGAGGAGGGCGGTGGCCAGTGGCAGGCAGGCAAGAACACTCCTTAGGGCTCTGGGCTCTTGGATCCCTTTGCGAATGCACAGCCCAGCTGTGACTCATGAGTCTGCGACCTCTCTTCTCGGGTTTTCTCAGATCCTGTGCAGCAAGGTGGAGAATGCCAGGCTGGCCATCCACATCAGCAATGCTGAGCTGGCTGCGGATGACTTCCGAATCAGGGGAGAGCTATGTGCCAGAACCTTTACTGAAGCAATGAATGACTCTTTCTTTTTCTTCAATCTCCCAAGGAAACTTCCCACTAGCGCAGTGGTTCTCAACCTTCCTCGTGCTGCGACCCTTTCTTACAGTTATTCATGTAGGGGTGACCCCCAACCATAACATTATGTTCGTTGCTTCTTCATCACTGTCATTTTGCGACTGTGATGAATCGGGTGACCCCTGTGAAAGGGTCGTTCGACCCCCAAAGGGGTCTCGACCCGCAAGTTGAGAACCGCTGCACTAGTGTTAAGGCTTATAGAAGGGGACCGACAAAAATCACTAAGACCCCATTCAACCGCACACACATTGTTCAGCATGTCCTCAGAGGGGGACATCGTGCCTGGTAAAGTGGAGGGACAGAGACACAGAGGAAGTGCTGACACTAGATGGATGGACTCAGTGGCCGCGACCAATGGTTCAGACGCAGGAACGATGGTGAGGCCGGCGGAGGAGCTGGCTGGGGCTCCTTCTGTTGTGCGTGGGGTACCTCTGGGTCAGAACCAATTCGGTGGCACCTCACCACCACCACCACCACGGCTGGTTCAGCCCAGTCTGTTCACTATCACTACCTTCATTCTTAGACACTGGAAGATGAGGCGAATGGTCTTCAATCTCCAGAAACCAAGTAAGGCAATTTCAAGAGTGGGTAGAGTCAGCCAGACATGACAGGACAGGTGGCGTATGACTCTGCTTTTGTGGAATGGCCCCTGTAGTGGGACAAAAGTATATTAGTGGGTACCAGGGCTGGGGGAGGGGGCAGCGGGAGTGAAAAAAACCAAAGAGCCTGTGAACGGAGCCCGAGCGGCCACTGAATTTCGTATTTACATCAGGGGACCCTTCAGTGTGCTGACCTACCTACAGAGGACCCCTCATGCACCAGGCACTTCCACCAAATCAAGGGGAGAGGTAGAAACGCAGCCCTAAGACGAGGAAGAGAGGGGCCAACCCTTGGCTCGTGTGTATTGTACTGGGTACCTAAGACACTGGATCTTCGGCAAGGGAGCTGATCTTTAAGACCCGTAGGTTCCCTGATGGACAAGGATCTACTAACTACGCTTCATTAGACCAAGAGCTCTTTGAGAAGAAGAGCCGAGTCTCATGCACCGCGAAGAATGGGACTCCCAAGTGGCAGAGGAGCTGGACTTCGGAGGGTGCACTCCGAGACAGTCTTGCTAACCTCTCATCTCTTGTGGTGAAGGCACGAGAGGGAGTTTTCCCTGCGGCAGCTGGTGCAGGCGGACGTGTGTACGGGGCTGCATACGCTCCTGGAGGACGTGACCCTGGCCACGTCCAACCTGGAGGCCCCGCAGGAGTCCCTGAGGGAGAAGCAGCGCTACTTCATGAGCAGCCACAAGCAGGTCAGGGCCCGTGAGGGAGCGTGTGGGCAAGAAAGGTGGCGGCCCCCTCCCCTTTCTCTCCCCCTGGCGCTTAAAGGAGGATGCCGGCTCAGTTGGCCTTGGGATAAAAGGTCGACCTGGGTCTTGGAGTCTAGACTGATTCTGTAGAATGGGGCCAGGTGGGCAGTTCTAACAAAGACTTGCTTCGGGAATTGAGGGAAGTCTCCCAACGGGCCCTTCCAGTTGGGTGCCCTGAGAGAGAGCGCTCGTGCTAATTTGAGGGCTTGTGTCTCCTCTCCCATCCTGGGCCACTTTTCTCATTTGGGGTTTGGTGCTTTCTGTCTCTGCAGGAAGTCAACCTTCTGAGGGCCCAGCTGGGGGACACGCTCCGAATTGAGCTGGACACGGAGCCCACGGTGGACCTGAGCAGGGTGCTGGGGGAGATG